TAACTCATGTGACATAGTGTTTGCTGTCTGACTTCTTCCTCTTTTCCTTACCCAAACTGTATACGCCTGCCTTGTAACAGTGCTGGTGCTTGCCTGATTTCCTTGGTAAATGGACCAGCTGTCACATAGGCAGAAAGTCAAAGATGACTGCTCCCCCAAGCCCCAAAGCATGAAACCCAACACCTTGCCAACAGCTCACTGATGATGAACAAAATTGAGCAGCAGTACTGATGCTAGGGAGTAAGGGAACCAGATGGGTGATAGGATGATGCCAGTGTCACCTGAGAATAATTTAAGGTTTTGTGTGATGTTACTGAATACTGTTGGTGGGGAGGGACTATCTTTGACCCAACCTCCATACCAGGAGACAGAACTAGAAATACAATGTGCCAAGAAAGCTACGTTTTTGTTTAGCATACCTTATTTCAGATGAGATAGCCAGAATTAAGTATTTTATAGGCAAGAAGTTCTCTTCCGTCACCCCATGTAAGGTGTGTTCTTACCACAGTCTGGTCATGGGTAGCTCATGTTGCGCTTTGCACCTGTGCTAGCAGTTCTTGAAATGGAGTTTTGCCTGGTTTGTTACTAATGCCTAGTCTAAACAACTTTGGATTTGGTAAAGTTACTCAGCATAAGTAGTTTACTGTTCAGTTAGCTTTGATGTTCTGCTGGCATGGATATAGCTAACTAGCTAGTGATGCGGTTGTAGCTGTGATGATATATGGACACAAGGCAAGTTTATAGATTGAGATAGTATCTCTTAATTTTCAAACAGTCAAACCCTTTGTTAAATATTAATGAATGTTCTGAGAAATGATGTAGCCTGAAATTGTCATGATGACTTTTTGTTCTTTTGATAACTAAGCTTTCTTAGGAGAATGAGCTATCTTATGAAAATTTGTCCAATGTATAGACATCGCTTGTGCTAGTTTAATGGGTGCTTTAAAGAGGATTAGAAAGGAAGGAGCATACAGTGGATGCCATTGCCTTAGTGACCAGGAAAGTTTCTATCAAAAAGGCTGTTGAGTAAGTGAGAGGGTAATGGAAGGGGATACAGTTTTCATTCTTCTTCCAAATACCAGCTACAGATAGATCCCTTCAGAGGTACTGTATTCTTTCTTGTGCTGCTTAAAAGAGGAATATTCTGAGAAGAGTTGAATGCTGGAGAGATTGCTTTCCTTAAGGGTAGTGGAGGTAGTTTGACTGTCCAGGACTCTGTTTTATCCTAAAAAGGGAACAACAGATTTCTTAAATTTAACTGCAAACACCACCATTAGTGTGGTTTCTTTCTTTTGCTGCCATGTGGCTTAGATAGAAAACTAGCCCTTGTGTCAGGTAAATTCTGGGAGGTTAGAAGGGTTGTATCACTTATCCTGGGGAATAACCAGGAAGATCATACAAGGAATAGTAGCATCATCTTGTGGTGCTTAAGTTTGTGTGACTACTCTTTCTTTGTCATCTTGAGGAGTGAAGCAGTGTCCTAAATATGCTTGTAGATGCTGACTCTTCTGATGTTGCACAATTGCGGTGAAGTGCTGAAGTAGTACTGCCTTCTGATTCTCTTTTCAGAAAGGTTACAAGTGACTGTCTACAGCCTGAAACTGGTACTCACTCTCCTCACTGTGGGGTTGACTTCTGAACTGGGATGGAGTGAGCACCTGGGGGTGATAACTGCTTAGGCTGTTACAGGTTCTGTGGTGGCAACAGCCTATTAAGTCAACTAATGGAGTGCTACATTTTGTATTTATAGGCTATGTTTAGAACTATGATAGCATTAAATTGGCAACTCCTTTCTAAAAGCTGACTTAGCCTTTAGATGGTTTTTGTATTTAAGAAACAAACAAACCGAACTCTGTAGAAGCTTTTCCCAGCTGATTTAAAACATGGCAGGAACTTGCTGATTGATCTAGATGCTGATATTATGCTTAGTATATATGAAATCAGTAAGTAGATTTTCAGTTGTACATGCCAGCTTCCTCTTTAAATGAAATCTAGTCTTAATGAAAGCTTTTAGTATGTTGCATGCTACAAAAAAAGTTAAATGACTTATATGTGACATTTATAATCTCAGCGAAACACAAAACAATGTCTTCCAAGACCTCAAGTGTCTGTAGCTTTCCATTTTCTAGTTTTTGTTTTCATAAGCTGCCTAGTCTTAGAGACAGAACACTTGTTTGCTGCATTTCAACCATTGTGGCTCCCTATTCTCTTAGGAAAAGGTCATCCTATAGCAGTTTTCTGTTGGCAACTCCATGTTGCAGTCAGGCATGTCTTTGGCTTTTGTGGTACATTTTTACATTTTTTTAAAAGGACTAAAATCCAGTAGTGAGGCTTCTGGACTATGTTTTGGCTTGCTTACCTTTACATGCTCACTAAGGGCAAGCATATTTAGGCCTAAAAGGATCCTTCATGAAGGACAATGTGAAAACATCTTAGTTCATTGAGCAATTCCACTATGATTTCAAGAAATGACAACTTCTATTTCTGCAGAGCTGTAGAGTTCAGCTACTGCTGGATGCACATCTATCTCACTCACTGGAGGTGAAATGCATCTTTTATTTTTAACCTTAGTGATTGCTTGGCAGTGAGTATGGTGAAGTGAATCTTCAAGGCCTGATTTTAGTGCCTGTCTCTTGGCACTCTTGTATTAGAAGAACTTTTCACAAGTATCTTGGCTAAATGTGGTTAAGCCTGTTGTGTTGGTTGTTACATTGGCTCCTGCTGTGTCATAGAGGTAATGTAAGGACATTCTGTTAGGCAATATAGCAGATAATGCAGCACACAATGGCAATTCTATTGCGTAAAGCTGGTAGAAAGAAAAACTAGTAAATCTTGCTGGTTAAATGTCTAATGCAAAATGAGCAATCTGTGAAACTAACTATTGCTGTTTCAACTAACTACCTGTTGGAAACGTTGTGTGGAATAGCAGATAGGGGTGTGTAACTTGTTTACAAACAGCTACTCTGATTACGTGCATCTTTTTATATCAGCCATAGCTTCAGATTGGTACAATGTAGTGTATTGAAATTAGACTCTTAGAAGTTGCCTTTTAAATTAAACATTCAGCTCCATTTCAAACTGCAGTTCTTATTGCATAGTTTTCTTTCCTCCCTAGATCAGTTTTGCCAAATGGCACTGAGATGATGTCTTCGTGCTTCTCACATAAAAATAGAATTGGCTGCTTGAAATATGGCAAAAACAGTCAAGATTTCAGTTGTTCTGTGGCTTTCTAAATATTTGTTCTTGGTCCTAAAATCTACTTGCTCAACTTCTTCATTTGGCTTCCTGTGTAATGTTGTTAAACCTTGGCTTGATTCTCATGGGGTGGTAGTCCTGTGGCACTTGCGTTTATCAAGTAAACAGCTGTGGCCATTTTAGATGTTACTTCCCAGATGGAGGTTACTGACCCTGTAGTGAAGTTAGCAGGAAGGTGTGCATACCATCTGTTTGGCTGTCATATTGTAAACTTACCTTCTTGGGTGATTAAAGCAGTGTGCCATACTGAACTCGGACAGCTGAGGTATCATTTGTTCTGCAAAGTCTGTTACCTGCTCATTAGCAGCTCTCTCCTATGGGGATTGCCAGGCAGCTGAGGGGATATAATCTTACAAACTGCTGCAGCAAAATTAAGTTTAGCACATTTGTCAGAGCTGAGAATCATCTCACAGTTATATGTAAATGAGATTAGTCCCTGAAAGGAACGTTATTTGTTGGCTTTTTTGAGGGGACATTTTATTGCTAGACTGCCAATATCAATCCCCCATCTTATATTTTTTTAATTTGCTTTCCTACATTATGACAAGGTTCAACATCTTTCATTTGGCACTAAAATTCCAATCTAATCATGCTCCCTGGCAAGTTAAAACTTGTTAGATGGGTTATCTTAATGTTACGTGTTAGTCACATGCAAGTGCTTAGATGCTACAGTAATAAGACATGAAGTGATCAGGACAAAGTGAATAGGTTCTCATTCAGAATGATTCTGAAGCCTCAGCTGAATGCTAATTCATTCTAATAGTTTCTGGCACTCTGACTGCAGAATGCTCTGGCTGTTGTGCCTCCCAAGGCTACCAGTGTCAAACAGGTATCTCTCAGCTGATTAGCAAGGTGACCGCCCCATAGTGGTCTACAAAATGAGTAGGTAACCAATAATATTGTTGGATGAGGGCTCAGGTTAACAGGTAATAAGGTAATTTTCTGCAAATTTAATTAAACTTTAGAATCTTGAGTTAAATTCACCCCACATCCTTAATGTCGTAAGCATAAAATATAGTTTTCTGAGTAGAAAGCATAGGCTATGGTTTTTTATCAGTTTCTGATTGCTGTGATGGAATGAATGGTGTTTAAATCTGTCTGGTCTAATTCCTTATCCAAGTAAGTGTAGACCCATTTCTACCAGCAATTTTGAACGTGTTCATTTAAGCAACAGAAACATAATCACTGTGTGTACTATTACTCTCATTGCAGTCTGTCTGAAGTTGGTTGCTGCTTGAGCTCCGCTTGCTTGCTATTATCTGAGCAGCTGTACTAGTACTTAGTGTTCTAGTTTTGTTGAAACTTAACCCACATGGTTGAGCTTGTATATGAGCTTCATACCCACAAGAAGTTTATAGTTACAACATGCCTGTTATAAGTAGTTAATTTTTACATGGTATCAGCAGCCAAGTGTTCACAAGCTTGTAAAAATAAAAATAATTTACAAAAACATCACTGTGCTTTTGTGATTTCTTTTTTTTTTTGCTGTTTTGTGGAGCTCACTTTCTGTTATCTAAGTTGTGTTTAACTTGTGTTAGCTTATGAAAGTATTATTGATCACAAGATAGGAATGTACTGTCCAGCAGTTTAGAAGTATGTATCACTGATTCCGTGTGAGTTTGTGCACATACAAAAGCAGATATCCTAGGTGTTTGGGAGTTTTTAAAAGCTTGCTTTTCTTTCAGCCAATTCTTACACTCTTCTTTTAAACTTCAGTTCAGTTATACAGACTGTTTGTCTTTCAGAGCCAGTACATAAACAGTCAAACTGAACCAAGAGGAAAGAGAATATTTGAGAAGGCTCCCAGCATCTCATGAATGAACTAACGGAACTCGATAATGCTGGTTCTCCAGAGCCAGGTCTACGGCTCAGAAAAGGACACATGTCTGGCACTGCAGCAGCAGAAGCAGCCTTTGAAGAGGACAGGTCCGAGCAGAGGCTGCTTTTAGAGGAGCCACCACTGCCTTCTGACCAGGAAAATGTAAGTTATATGATTATCTGTTAGGCTTGCTAGGAAACATGAGTTTTGACATAAGTGCTTCAATGCTTGAAATAAGTTCCAGAAATGTCAACTGTGAGCCTACAAACTCATTATGCCTGCTAAATAATTGTATTAAAACCAGGAAGATGCCAAAAATACTCGGTTAGATGTGTATGAACTTGGGTGAAAAGACTGGGCATAAATGCGAGTTTATGCTTTATATTAACCAGCTTTATATTTTTTTTAATTCTTTCCTCAAAGGAAAGGGACTCACACTGGTTTGTTCTCTGCTGAGACATTGCTCGTATCAAGACATTTTTGTTCTGTAACCTTCAATTAATAAGAAGCGAAAGGAGAATGTAATCTGAACCTTGGCTATCATTTTGAAGATTAGGACAGAAACATCTGTTAGCAAGTATTCTTGTTGGAAGAATGGCCATTCTGGATTAGACCAAACAAACATCCAGAGTACATGATATCTCGGACAGTAGCCAGTAACACTCATAAGGATGAGTACAGGGATGGGGAAGTATGTTGTGTTACTTCCCAAGGACACTCTCCCAGCCTGTAGTAACTGGTGGCTCACAGATATTCTGAGCTGGTGGCAGTGTGTTTGGATTTTTGGTGCATGAGCCTTTGTAAATTCTAGCAGCCACAGCAATGCCCATGGTAAGGCGTTCCACAGTTTAATTAGGTGTTACACAAGGGTAGTGGCCAGGAATTGGACAAAAGTACCTTCTGGTTAGAGAGTTTCAGAACTGTGATTAATGCTTCTCCCAGGATATATACAGGTGGTTATCAGCACAGTGAAGTGGAAGAGGCATTCATCCTAAACTCACTATTAAAATTTATCATGACTTAACGATTTTAGTGTATCAGCTTAGTTACAGAAACTGTATGGTTTTAGCCAGCAGCAAAAACATGCTGATGCTTCTTAACGTAGCCTTCTATGCAAAAGAATTGGTTTGTAGCTTTAACTGCATTTGCCAGAGATTCTGGGCTTGTGCATGGACCACTGTCGTGGTTCAGCTGACACAACCTTTATTAGACTGTCTTAATTTGATGAGTTTGAGCCCTATGGAATTCACTTTCAAGTGTCCTTTTAATGGAATCAGAACAGGTATTTGTGGCTAATAAGCCAAGCCAGTGCACTCTGTATGCTGCTGTAACTTCTGTAGGACATTTCTCAATATCATGATAACAGGAAATACCCAGTATTCCTATTTGCACTGTGTGAAAGGTTGTAAAATATGTATATAAAGTGCAAAGTCTTAGCACACAGCGGAATTTGCTAAGGTTGGAAAGAAGAAAAGTTGAGTTTTACTAGCAGATATTTTGAACATATATGTTTATCTGACAATGTGTTTGGGATCATCTTTTTTGAAGGTTACTTTCATTCTTGTCTCTGACTTTCCTGATTGAATAATGAGAGTTACCTGTTGCCTGCAAGTGGAATAACCCAAAGTAAAAGCCCATAATGACTGATCTGTAAATTTCTCTATGCATTTGCTTAGCTAGATAGAAATTATGTGGATGAATCAGTGTGTTTAATTTTAGAAGTGTGGAACTAAAATGGTTAAAGTACTCTCATTCTGTCTTCTTTTTCAGGCATTCTTGGGATTTGTTAGCCTATTGGGGTTTCTTTGCTTTCATCCTTTCAACAAAAGTCTGCTTCTTTCGTTTTGGCTCACTACAAATATTTAGCTTTCCTATACTTGTCTTCTCTCTTTCCCAGTTTGCTCTATGTTGCCACAGAATTTTTTTTTTTTTTTTTTGCCATTTGGGCCTTGCTGTTCTGCCTTATATGGCCTTCTGCTTTTTTTACTTTCAGCCTAAACTCCTATTCCTTTCCTCTGTGGTTTCTTGTTTTTAACGCTGTCATATCTTTACATTTTTGCTTTCTTCTTAAGAGTTCGTTCCAAAACACTCTGCTGTTGAAAGTACCAAGAGTAGCTTGCCAAATGGCCATTATTAGGTGAAATACTGCAGCGTTCTAAATAATCTGGAAGAAACACTACGCAATGTATCATCCTTTGTTTTGTATAAGCCTCAGTGCAGCTGTTACTCCAGTGCCAGCTAGAATTTACTTTTTTCTCTACTGTACATTCTGGCCAAGTGCAGCTGCCTGAGTACACATAACTTATTATTAAAAAGCATGGTTTTCCTTTGGTTTTAAAGAGGCTCTTGTTTAGATCACAGTAATACAAAGTCATTGTTCTGTGGATGGCAATAGTACTTGGGCATACAAGGACTTGAGTGGTGCCCATTGCATTAGTATTCCAGCGGCTAAATATAACCACTTTGAAGCTGATGATAGCAGTTGGGGGATTTCCATGCTGGAGAAGGAAAGGGGAGGAGAGCTATATAGTGTCTTGGTGATAGAACAACCACGGTCATTTAATATGCTTTCAAATGCTTCTACTTAGGACAAGCTAAACATACTGACTTTCTTGAATATCATAATATAGATGTATTCTAATAGTTATTATACTTCCCCAAAATTTACTGGGCCTAATACTGAGGTATTAGTGTGAAAATGTGTATATCCTGTGGTAATACAACATTGTTTAGTTTTCCTTCTGCTTCCCTATTTATATAATTGCAGCTCCTTTATATGAAATCTGCTCCAAACTCTCCTATATAAGATTCCTTTCATTCTGCCTACTTGTATATGCACTTTTTCGTTCACTCATAGGAGGAAGCAGTCTGAGCAATTAAGGGGTACTAGCTGCTTTTGATGAATTAATAGTCTTTTCTAAGGAGTTGTGTGCAAGCATGTCATTGTATTCAGAATAATTTTCCATCTCCCAACAGCTTGCGCTGTATATTGTCCATTTCTGATTTTGATGGGCCAAAATATTGGTCCTCTGTAGAAATAAAACATCTTAATGGAAAAAAAAAAAAAGAGGTGGTATTAAGAAATCAAAATTAGTCCTAGAAGTGTGGTTTTGTTTTGATTTTGTTTTTCTGAGGGTTTAGTCTCTGGCACCAGTAAACTATTTGGGTGGTTGCATAGCTGTGATCTAAAAATTACATGAAAGATCCTACTCTCTGTAAATTGTGTTATTCACTAAATACATGTGGCAAAGGTTTATTAGCTGTATGGAGCATGGTTATCCATAATAATAATAAAATAGCTGCATCCTTCTGCCAGTGCTCTTGATCTGTCAGTTATATAATGATGCTTATGAGAAGATATGGATCATTTAAAATCAATACCCTTTTACCCCTGAACCTTAGTCTATATTTTGACCCATAACTGTGTTCTCTCCTGGAGTGTATGTTCATAGATTATCCCCTCTTCCAAGTATCTGTTCCAAAGCATAGATACACATCTTGCTATCTTGTTTGAACATGCAGTTAGCGTAGCAGCAAATGAGTGGTGTACTTCTGTGCATTTGAGAAATAGTGGCCATTTATCTGAATGTTTAAGATTTGGTGGTGAGAAAAGAATCGGGCAAGCTGCATAATTCATCTTGTTCTTCAGCAATTTAAACTTGTTTTTCTTGCTCTAGTTTACATGTGCTGTGCATATGCTGATAAAGCATTTTTTCAGCAGGTGCTTCCCTCCTGTAGCATGCTGGGTTGCATTGGTTTGCTTTGAGACAGCATCCTTTCTCCTGTCCTAGATTTTGTGTTTTAACTGCCTTTAATTCCAGCAGTGATGGTTCCTAGAGAAATCTCTGTTACTGTGGCTTTATTAAGCTTACACAATCAAATGCTTGTTACTTCTTATAACCTGGTGAATGGGCTCTTTATGCAGCCTAAAACTTGTGCTTGCCTTTTTCCTTTTGTATTTTAACCTGTCAGTGACAGGAGGTAAACCAAAGAACCATTTTATTTGCCTTTACTCCAATCATCAGGGTTTAGTGTTCCTGAATGATGAGTTCTTTCATGCAGTTGAGCTGCCTTGTGTAGTTGTCCTGTGTAGCACCAAAATGCACCATGAAGTGGAGACCTGTTGCTATAAAGAGTTTAATAATCTACAGGAAGTGTTTGGGGAGGAGGTGTGCCTAGCTCTCAAGCTATCTGAGTAGGCAGAAGAAAATTGGGCACATACTAATCTGGATTGCTTCTCAGGAAGCATGGGTTTTGACTTCAAGTGGAATTTACTTGACCTCTGACAAATTTCATGGTATACCTGCATGTAGCTACAAGAGCATAAATACTGAAGTCACTTGAAGGAGGGAGGTGGAAGGATGTAACATTTTCAGTCCAAAATAAAAGTTCTAGATTAATTGAAGGTGACCAAATAACTCTAGGCTTTTAGCTTGGCTCTTACTGAGCGCCTTTTCTGTCGCAGAAATGTGTACGTATTATCTATAGAAAGAGGGTTTGGTACTGACAGAAAGGGTGCACGTAGAGTCTTAGCTATTCAAGAGGGGGAAGTGTTGGTACTCTGCTGAGTTTGCTGCCTGCCAGCTGGTTTTGTAACTGTTGCTTGCTGTGCTGCTTGTTGAAAACAGGAGGGGGAGGGAGTGGTTTTGTTTATAATTCACTGGCACAACAGTTTCCCTGGACAAGGGTTAGATTCCACAATTTTTGCCTTTGTTCTCCTGGAGAATCGTATCTGTCTGATGTGGGCAGCAGTGGGGGACATGACGCCTTTCACAGTGATAGAAAATAGTGCTGTACTTGTGGGTTAACTTGCATCTTTCTCCAACTGTTTTATTTTAGACCGATTGACTCTGTTCTTCTTGTTAACTTCAGCAGCACACTTTCAGCCTCTCTCTGGTTAAGTTTTTAACAGAGCTTTTTTTTTTAATACAAGCCCAGTGTGCTTGTTTTCTTTTACTGCTGTCAGGATCCAACAATGACAGAGGAGCATAAAATGGCACATGAGAATCTTCTGTAGTAGAAGCCATTTCTGCAGGGTTTCCCCTAAAGTGTACTGAGGAGCACATGTGAGCATTTGAGGTCTTTGGTCCTTGTCAAGTACTGGGCATTGACAGAAAATTGGTAGTTGCTACTGCTTAGAGATTCAACAAACCCTTTTCATC